TTATTAAGTTCAACAAAATATAACATCTTTTCAGCCACGTTGGAAAACAATAAAAAAACAAACAAAAAAAAACGACATTTTCTGGCACAGTGAAAGCGAAATATCTTATTAGTTATTTTTGGCCGACTAGTTTGGGTAACTAATCGGCCGAAACAACGAATGGAGACTTTATCTTTCATTGTGCCATAAAACGTCGTTTTTTTTTACTTCTAATATTCAAAGAAATATCTGGAAAAACGTTCTGTTTTCTTATAGTTATAATTGGCGAAAAGGTATCTAGTTAAATGTTGGGTCATTTCTGGGTCACATCAAAGTTCATTTGCGAATTCAAAGCTTTAAAGTAAAATTCAAATGTAAGAATCAGTTGTATAAAGTGCACAAGCATGACTTGTAACACTTGATCGTTGATCTTTGGAGAACTTAAAACTGTAAGTTTATAAAAATGTGAAAAAGGGTGTCAAATGTAAGAATCAGTTGTATGAAATGCCCAAGCATGACGTGCAACACTTGATCGTTATTCTTTGGAGAACTTAAAACTGTAAGTTTATAAAATCTGAAAAAGGGTGTCAAATGTAAGAATCAGTTGTATAAAATGCCCAAGCATGACGTGCAACACTTGATCGTTGATCTTTGGAGAACTTAAAACTGTAAGTTTATAAAATCTGAAAAAGGGTGTCAAATGTAAGAATCAGTTGTATAAAATGCCCAAGCATGACGTGCAACACTTGATCGTTGATCTTTGGAGAACTTAAAACTGTAAGTTTGTAAAATGTGAAAAAGGGTGAAAAATCATAAACATAACATAACTGGAAGAAATCAGCTGAATGTTTTAAAACTTAACATATTAGACCAATAGCTGGGAAACTCGGACATACTCATTATGAAACATGGAAATATAAGTGCTTTTATTGTCAGACGTGAGTGCAAGAAATGGACGTAGGCTCACAAAGATTTGAAATAACACGTACTTTTAATGAGTATGTTGCCGTAAAAACTTGTTGTGATGAGTATGACTTTCTAGGCCGAACTCTAGATATCATGAATGCAAGTGATATAGACATGATCATGTAATAAAGGACGTCATTGTAATCGTAAAGACATAAGGACATAAACATACAGAAGGGACGTATTTATAACTTTGAAAAGATAGGTGTATAAACGTATGAAAACTATGCCTTTCTAATCATGAAGACATAAAGATATTTACATATAGCCCCCCCCCCCCCAGTGGCACAACGGTATTCATATAGCAACGATATTTTTATAAACATGACAGTAATTCTGCCTCTTAAGTATTGAATATGATAGACTTGGGTT